AGTTCTGCTGCCCAAAAAAGAGGTCTTCGCCATAAGTCTCGACAGGTTCTACGTTACTTTTTAAAAAATTAAGATGTCTAACCTGTTAAGGTTCTCAGCAGTCACGAAATCCAAAAGCACGATATACCGGCTCTATAACTCATATTATCGTAGACATTATTGTTTTATTTTATTTATTACATACTTATGGTCCATGCGGGTCTCGATAGCATTTTGGATGTAGAATGAATGCTTTTCCTAACGGTTTACCGCCTCATCGTCGCTGGGAGGTGTTTCTGGGTGTCGGACTGCGATTTACAGCGGGGGATTCATCTCCTAGCAGGGTCTCCCAAGCTGAGAAGAAACCCGGTTTCCATCAAGAAGCCCAGCTAAGAGTAAACCAATAACAGGGTTCACCACTGTCGTGGTATCAAATTAGTCGCATGGTGGTAAATCTCCCTCTGATCCACAAGAACTGCGACCGTCTGTGGCGGTGAAGGCCCGGAGCAGACTTTGGCGAGGCTGACCTCGGGGTTCCAGAGAACCACAATGGATAAACCAACAGAACCCCGAAAACGAGGAAATTAGGCTGACACCGTACAATCAATGAAGACCGGTCGTCTAAGTATCCAAATGTCCAAGTAAGAATGAGCTCATAAATGTGGACTTATTTGAGTGCTCAAAACAAGTTGTTTGATCTCAGTTGCAACCATGAGGTGCTGTTTATCGCTTTAAATTTTCAACAGTCTTAAGCGATATCACGGTATAATTGCATTTATCTTTTAAAAAAAGCCATTTTTCACTTTTACTCTCGCGTCGTTCCCATTTTTCCCCACTACTAACCTTTACGGTTTAGCAGATTATTGCTCACTTAACAATAATCACACAAACACCTTTCAACAAAGACTTTGAGCATCCACATTTATTTAGTTCATTCCTTCCATCACTCTTATTCTCTTTCTCTATAGTCCTTACTTTAAAAAAATATATCACAATTGGAAGACAGTAACCCTTACACTATTATATACAACTGAAATTCCTTAGTGGTGGGCAGAAAATAAAAAGTGAAGCATTGTGATCACAATTACAGCTTCAGCTTAACTGGGTTGAATGCCGATATGGGCTCCTCGGCTCAATCCCGTTGACGGGTGATTGCTGATGGCAAAAGATCGATTGAACTAGCTGAGAGACAGGCGGAACGAAGGGCTCCCATAGTGTGGGAATGAACGCGTTAGCCCCTGGAACGGTTAATAACTTGCAGAGCCCAGCAACTCTTGCATTCGGTTCGTTTTCCTCGCATTCATTGTCCACTGTGGTCTTCCAACATTTCGCGTGTTGTTCCAACTGGTGTTTAAGGATTCCGTCTTTTTTATGAATCTTTTAGAAAGGTGGTCAAATTATTTCGTCTTGTAATCTCGGTGAAATCAGGGCTAAGACGTCCCCACATGGATTGAAGGAGTGCGTTGGAGCTAGGATCAAACTAATGCCTTTTGCTCTTGATCGATGGCATCACTAACCAATGCGTTATCCCCGCCCATTCTTTGGTTACTCTCAGTCAAAATCAGTCGTATCCAAAGCTGTTAAGCTTGCAAATAAATTTCTTTTGCATTCAGTTACGATGCAAATTTGAGCATAACATTATCGATTTGTTCTTTATTTCACGGTACACGTAGCTCAGTGGTAGTGATGCGCGAGACCCTCATTTGACCAACAATCCCTCCAGTGCCCGAAAATCGATGCCATGTTCGCCTGGGTTTAGTCAACGAATGTCCGTGATGGTGATCTAGGAAACCCTAGCATGGTTATATCAAAATTCGGTTTGTCCAGTGACATTCGAAAAGAAAACCGAAAATCCTTGAGCAGTCGGCGAACTCATGTGCAAAAATTCGACGACCTTTGTTGATAGAGACTGCGAGAAAACGAGCTGAATTTACGAGGTGCTGAGATCTGCACAATATTTACGATGCCGGACCATGCATAATAAAAAATGCTCAAAGCCTTGCCGCCAGCAAACAAATAAAAGGATCCATGCGCTTTTGCCTGTCCGTTATCTAGAAACTTCACGTTTACATTGGTCATGTGAGATACTTACTTGATACTTGAATGGCCCGTCCTCACTGGTTGTGCGGCCGAGGTCAGCCTGGCCAAGGTCTGCCCCAGGTCTTCACCACCGCAGGCAGTCGCAGCCTTTGTGGATCAGAGGGAGGTTTACCACCGTGCGACTTTGTTACCAGGACAGTGGTAGATCCTGGTATTGGTTTACTCATAGCTAGGCTTCCTGATGGAAACGCCGGACTCCTTTTCAGCTTGAGAGACCCTGCTGGAGGATAAATGTCCTTGCTACACATCGCAGTCTGACACCCAGGAACACCTCCCAGCCACGTTGAGGCGGTAAACCGTTGCGAGGCTATGTGAGAGGGTTTCATAACCAGCATCTTCGTAAAAGGCAACGTTGAAGAGAATGATGTTGCGTAAGAAGTTATTTCCAAAGTAATATGGTTAAACGTGGTAGTTAATAACGCTATGCATCTTCAAACCCTAATTCGACATTTGCTACCGATTGATGTTTCAAAACCCACAATGGCGTATTAATCGCTATACTGGAACTTTTTGCTTTTGAATCTATAATATTTTACTTGTTCCAGTTTTAGTACATGTTCGGAAAAATGAAGCGTTGAAAGAGGATTTTTCGGTCCATCGGTAAGCCAATAGGCTCACTGCGATTTTGAAGGAACCAACAAGGCAATTTACTTTCTATTAAATTCTAGTTTTAAGTTATTTCTATTGTTCTAGCGTTTTCAAAAGTTTTAAAACTCGATTCACTTATATCTTGCACCTACCAATGGTTGATTTAGCTGAATTATGCTCAATGATATGATGATTGCTGATCAACAGTGAATGCTCTAAATCTCGAGTTGACCATGCCAACGTGCACCTAAGTCTTCACCACAGGCACTCGCTGGTGTTTGTGAATTAGAGAAAGGGTTTGTCGCTTTGTAGTTGAGATTCTTCCAGTATTGGCGAAATTGCCAACCGAGGACGATGTGACAAACCGAATCCGATGCACTGGAATTGCTACCTAAACTCAAAATTATATGAGAAAGGTATCTATCGCTGTCTTTTTCTTCTCAGAAATCCAGTCCTTCTGTCATTATTCGATGTTATGGTTTCATTATAAAACATCTACTGTATAATTGATAGGTAGGTGGATAGCGTAGTGATAATGATGTCGTTCATTACAACTGCGGTGCTGGTTCGATCGCGTCTTGGACTTATAAATCTTCTCATCCCTTCGGGATCGGTAAATTGGCATCAGACATGTCTAGAACGCCATTCAGTCTAATCTGTACAGTCCAAGTGAGAACGCTCTAGCTCGGCTACCCACAATCCTCTACCAGCAGCCGAATCCACATACGAAAAGTTTTAAGACCTTCGTGGATGGGAGATACGAGATAACGAATCAAATGCAAGAAGTACTGCGACCAACATTCTACATGTGATGACGGATTAGGAGTAAAAAAAAAAGTAAATTTTTTTTGGAACGCCTATGCATTTCATAAGATCTGAATTGCTGTGGGATAAGTCGTTCCGGCTTATCAGTTGTATCTCTTATATTACAAGCAATTTGGATTGACACTGAGTAACTCGAACGCATAGCTACAGGTCCATTCATCCTTATCATTCACCAAGACTGCCTCACATTCTCTGCTAGGTAAAAGAAGACCATGGCACTTTTCATATGAAGTTACAACGGGGCGGATAGAAGAGTGGTAGTGATGTCCGTCAACACGAGCATGGTGCTAGTTCGATTACGCTCCGGGTTAAGCAAGCCTCTCCTACCTCTGTGGTCGGGAAATTGGTACCGTACTTGTCTCGGAAAAAACGACTGTTTACAATCCAAATGGTAACCCTCCAGCCTGGCTATCTCAGGACAACAGGGAGAATTGCTCGGCCAGCATTCCACGACATTCAAGATGAAATGAAAATCCTCAAGCAGCAATCGAAGGCACACGTAAAAGTGGATCTCCGTGGATAATGGATGCGAAGAAACGAATCGAATGTGAGAAGTACGGGAATCCGCACAGTAGACGTAGAGACGGATCAAATAAAAAGTTAGAATAGAGAAAAGATGGTAATACTCTGCCGTAAAATTATAGTAGGCAGAAAATAAGAAGTAAATATTGTGAATTCAACTACAGCCTCAGTTTAACTGGGTTCAATGCCGATGTGGGCTCCCCAGATCAATTCCGCTGATGGGTGATTGCTTATGGCAAAAATCGATAGAACTAGCTGAGAGAGAGGCGAAACGAAGGACCCGCTTAGTGTGGTGGCGAATGCGTTACTCCCCGTAAAGAACAGCAGCGCGTCCGTTCCCCACCGCGGACACGCGCGGTCCGGAATTTTGCAAATATCTCAGCTATATTGTTGTGGTATTTCGCTTAATACCCTGCCGTGAAAATTATAGTAGGCAAAAAATAAAAAAGTAAACGAAGAAAATATGTTACATCTCTGTTTTTTAAGACCACACCCATGGATTCCTCGCCTACCCCTACTGGGATGGCGCGGATTACTCACGGGTATACTTCAAGGGAGCCTATTACCTGTATTCGCCTGAGCCTAAGTGTAAGTAGATTGTGACTTTGAAAAACTCCGCATATTTCCAAGACTTATATACTTATAAACAAATGCACAAAGTGGTACCCTGAATAGGTGTGTTATTTTTTATCCGTTTCAACTACGTTGTGCTCGTAGGGGACTGTCACCACTCAAATTCACTTGAACCATTGAGATTATGCAAACTGAAATTATTATTGTGCTCATGATCTTGAGCATTCGACCATAATTAAATCTCACCTATTCACATAAAGTCTTCCAATCTTCCAGTGGATTCGATTGTTGCTTAAAACATCCCTTCGTAAGTATAAGCGCTCATCACCATTTTCTGTAGTCCCGCCTTTACTTCCTGTGGTATTTGTGTTTTCCTTAATCTTTTACCTTCAAATATTCTCAAACTTTCCAGAATGGTCTTCACGGAAATTGTTGGCACCTTGTCTTTTCTTCAACCACAGGCTGATGACGACATCTTCGATCGCCTACATTACTACTACACAACCACATTTCTACTTCTTACGGCGGTAAGAATAATTTCTCTTAACACTTCTTGGTTATGAGAAAATTTTGTGCAATACATTCACTTACTTACTTAGTTACTTGGATGGCCTGTTTTCACAATTTGTGCTGACCCCATCACATTTGCCGTTTGTTTCTTTCCCTCGCAATTGTCGTCGTACTTCAGAACACATTGTTGAAACGCTCTGCTATTAGTGGGCACTATAGTTGCTATGATTGAAATATTGGTCCACGTCTTTGCTGCGTAACGGAGCGAAAGACGACTGCTGAATTAAGGATTAGGGAGATGAGCGCGGGTTTCCGTGTGTTTTAGTTGATCGGTTGCTTCTTTGAAAGGCCAGAATGCAGTTCAAATTTCCCACCTCCTTCTGCCTAATTTCTCCTGCATCTTGACTTACATGTTCGTTAAACGCTCAAAGAATACGTGAGAGGTAGTCTCTGTAATCAGAAAACCACCGCGTTTGATTTGTTCTCCTTAGCACTAGGGGTTTTTCGTGAAGTGGATCTTCCAGCTAGATGTATGCGTAGTCCGATTTTTTTCCCGCTTTCTTGAGCTCATTGGTCATCGCTACTGTTTCGTTGGTACTTTTTGAGAAGGTGATGCCGTCGGCGAAGCGAAGCATGAGTAGGAATTTTCCATAAATACGTATGCTTTTTTCATCCCAATCGAGTGACCTCACTATCCGCCGTAGAGCGGCACCGAACAGCTTTGGCAATATTGGGTCGCCTTGTCGAACCCCTTTTCCTATAGGTATGGTAAGAGGTCGGTGGAAAAACGGTATTGTCGTAGTATGGTTCTGATAACAACATTATAACTCAAAAGACCGACTTTCTATAAACTTCGGCATCAATAGTTGATATATTTATTCATATGATCTTATAAACTGATCTTCTTTAGCTGATGCGAGGTTGCTATAGGTCTACGTTGTCGTTGTTGTTGATGTTGTTGGCCGATGGCCGACGTTTCGGCGATTTCGCCTTCCTCAAAGCCTGGACGTATTTTATATTAGAATATGTTAATTATTCGGTAGAAAAAATGCGAAAGTATTAATGAAAATCAGACATTTAAATAGACGACATATTGAACAGAAAGGACACTCACCGTGATGTTTACGAGTGGGACTCCCCACGCGTTGTTCACGTGAGGTCGCGAGCAAGGCACACCCCGGGGTAAAATATCATTTTGAAATATGGCGCCAGGTCACGGTGATAGTGAGCCATTCGTCTTTCCGGTTCATCCTTGGATTTTTGAAGTTTATCCAAAACGTCTCAAGAGTTTTGCGCGTTGATCTTTTCGATTCCTGCGCTAGGATCCGCACAGTCGCTTCAAAAACATCGTCGTCGTGCTTTTGTGCCCTATGCATACCTAGAAGAGTGTTTAGACGGATTTTAGCTTTTCCATCTAGATGTTCTTTTATGCGGACACAAAGTGGTCTACCCGTTTCCCCGATATATTCCTCACCGCATGCATTACATGAGATCAAGTATATTATACCTAAACGCATGCAATCCCCGTCTCTCCCGTTAGGACAGATCATACAGTTTTCTGAGCTGCACAAACGATCATAGAGACGGTTTCGAACTAACTGACGGCGTACGGTATTGCGTGGGATGTCAATAATCGTTGCATAATTTTCAAGACCACTTTTTCTTAAGCACCTTTTAATGGCGTAACTTACTTCATTTGACATGAAGGATATCTGACAGGGAATCTTACTTACGCCCAAAATATTATTTTGGAGACCGAAATATTATTTTGGGGAAGTACCCTACGTTTTTGTCTGGCGCGAGTGGCTTCTGCTTCGTAGCCATTTTTCGTACCAGGTTTAGTGATTCTTTCCTTTCCTCTTGTCCTGTGCACACATTTTCAGCGGTTCGGTACATGTTTTTGAAGAGTGTTTTTTCACAAGACGAGAGTAGAGGTAGTGAACTAGTGTATTTTTACTACTTGCCTTACGATACCATTTTGTTGTAAGCTTTGTGAAAGCTTTATTTAGATCTTTCTACTTCTGTTCAGCAAGCACGAGGTGCTATTATATTTCTTTATTTACGCACAAGCTGACGTTTCGGCGGATTTCGCCTTCCTCAGAGCCTGGAAGGGTCAAGTTGACAGCAATCCACTCGGCCAAACATCCACACTCGGCTTTATTTAGAGTCTAATAATGGATGCCAGTTCTGGCTTGGTTTTTCCATGTGAAACTTACATACTCTGACTGTCTAATTAACATATCGAAGCACTCATCCCTCTGTTCTTGCGTGGAACAGAGGATGGAGCAGTCGTTAATCTATCAACAGTAGAGTAGGGTCGGCGATCGAGAACTGGAGTTTCCATCGTAGACATGAAAGCGATGACAAGGCTTGGTGCTGAACGCTGTCCCATGGCCAACCCTCTAATTTGTGCGAAACACTTTCCAGACCACCTGAAGATTGGACAACTAAGACACTGTTTTAAGAGGGTCATTAGTTGTGCAATCGACAAGCCGTGCATTTTTATTTCCTTTCCATGCTCTACGAGCAACTCGAGAATAGTTTGCAATCCGGAGTCATTCGATATGTCGGTATAAAGTGAAGTAACGTCGAATGACTCCACTACATGCGTGCTGTTGGGTTGCGCGCATCGTAGGTTCACAGGTTATCTAACCTTTCCAGCCTAACCCTGTAACATAGTTGGTCTTGAAGTTCATGCAAACTACACGTGTTGCGCAGGATTGGTTTGGAAATGGGTTTACTAGGTGCGGAACTCGGACCCATTTCTAACAATGAACGCATTTTCCGGAAGCGTTATGCGTCCTAGCACAGTAACTTTGGATGTTGTTGGTGCACGGTCTTGAAGGTAAAGTAGTACCAAGGGAGGAACTTCCACCAGTACCTTTTTCCCGAACTTTGTTTAAACAAGAGCTTGCAAATAGCTATATTGACCCTGCATTTCGTTTATTTTTGGCCGAAATTGTCCGCTTAATCACTACCAACATAGAAAATTAAGCTCCAACTTTACATACCAATAAAAGTGTGGTATGCGCCAGGTTAGCGACCTCTTGAATTCGAAATTCATGCGACTTTCCATTAGTGATAAAGGTGGATAATTTGAGGTTATTCCTAGTCACTTGGATGCTAGAATAACAAAAAAACATCTCTACGATGTTTCTCTCTATCGAGCATCGTCTGAAAAGGAATATAGGAATCAACACGGATAGTTAAATGTGGGGTGGGTCAATACGGCGAGTGCAACGGGTTTAGAGCCTTCTGTTATTTTTCGTCTAAAAATCGAACACCCGATTGGGGCTGTCTTTTAGTTAATTATTAAGACACATAAGCTTACTTCTACTGATGATATTACATCAACGAACCCATCATCATATAAAGTTAGACCTATCATCAGTTGTATAGGCGGGCCAACGGATAGAATAACGTGGTTCCTAAGCCTTATCCTGACCCAGTTGCTGAAATTCATTCCAACCCATCTACCTAACACCAAAATATTTCTAGACCACTTACGGTGCGCGCAACCAAACAGCACTCATGTAATGGAGTCATTCGATGTTACTTCACTTTATGCCAACGTGTTGAATGACTCCGCAATGCAAGCTATTCTCGAGTTGCTCGTAGAGCACGAAAAGAAAATAAAAATGCACGGCTTGTCGGTTGCGCAACTAAGGACTTTCTTAAAACAGTGTCTTAGTTGTATCTTCAGGTGGTCTGGAAAGTATTTTTCACAAATTACATGGTTAGCTATGTGACAGGGTTTAGCACCAAGCCTTGCCGTCACTTTCATATCTAAAGTGGAAGCCCCAGCTCTCGATCACCGGCCTTTACTCTACTGTCCATGCACAGACGACTGCTTCATTGTCTGTTCCACACAAAAACAGATGGATGAGTGCTTTGAATTGCTAAACCGACAGTCAGAGTATATAAAATTTACATGAGAAAAACCAACCGAAAACTGGCTTCCATTCTTAAACATCCAAATAAAGCTCTCTGAAGATGGCTATATGACAAAAAGGTATCTTAAGCCAAGCAGCAAGATATACTAGTTCACTACCTCTCCAGTCATCCTTCACGTGTGAAAAAAGAAAACTATATGATCTGTCTTAACGGGAGAGACGGGGATTTCACGAGCACAGGTACAATATGCTTGATCTCGTGTAAGGCATGCGGTGAGGAATATATTGGGGAAATGGGTAGACCACTTTATGTCCGCATAAAAGAACACCTAGATGGGAAATCTAAAATTCCTCAAGGTACTCTTCTAGGTACACAGAGGGCACAAAAGCACAATGGCGATGATTTTGAAGTGTCTGTGCGGATCCCAGCGCAGAAATCGAAAACATCAACGCTCAAAACTCTTGAGGCGTTTTGGATAAATTTTAAAAATCCAAAGATGAACCGGAAGGACGAATGCCTCACTATCACGCGTGACCTGGCGCCCTATTTCAAAATGATATTTTGACCACATGGTGTGTCTTGCTCGCGACCCCACGTGAACAACGCGTGAGCCAGTCCCACTCATAACATCACGGTCCCTTTCTGTTCAATATGGCATCTATTTAAAAGTCCGATCTTCGTTAATAGTTTAGCCTTTTTCCACCGAATAGTTAACATATTCTAATATAAAATACGTCCAGGTTTTGAGGAAGGCGAAATCGCCGAAACGTCAGCCATCGACCAGCAACATCGACAACAACGACGACGAAGATCTATAGCAACCTCGCACCAGCTAAAGAAGATCAGTTTATAAGATCATATGAATAAAAAGATTCTGATAACAGTCAAATAGAGCCATTATGTTGGACAGGTCCACTCTTTGGTCGACGAGCACTGATAGGATTGCACTCGTTTCGACACTGCCAAACGATATTTCATCGTAGACGAAAGTCAGGAAATGGGACAGGTGTTATTTCCGAGATATCTCAGTGATCCTGGACACAGTTTGGATGTGGTCCATGCAGAAATGTCCCTTTCGAAGTTCTGCTTACTCGACTGTTTGCGTCTCATTAAATGTGCTTGATACGCCCGAGAAGATAATCATCGTGAAGGGCTTGTT